AAGCCCACCCTCGTCTGACAGACTCCTCCAAAGCCCTTCCAGGCTCAGCATCCGGGGACACCTGACGCCTGAGTGCCCCCTACTTCCTGCCCTCCTCAGAAGCAGGCTTCCCTCCTGCTCCCACCTGAGACCAAAGTCCTAAACTGGCCTCCCCTCTATACCAACTCACCCCCAGCCAGGGGGCTCTTGACCCTCCTTCCCACCTCTCCTACCAGGTCAAGCCCCAGCCAACCCAGGCCCTGCCAGCCTGCCTGTGGGCACGCGGCTGTGTGATGTGGGGCAGGTTGCTCACCCTCTCTGGGTCCTAGTTCTCTCAGCTGCCAGTTTGGTCAGGTGGGAAAGGATCCAAGGCTAGGTGTTGGGCCAGGGTTCAGCTCTAATGCATCTCCCTCATGAAACACCCGGACCCCCGCAACACCTCCAGCCTCCTCCTGCCTAAAACAACACTATTTAAGCTGTGTTTCCTGGATTGTGTGGGGTCCTGGGTCTCTGGAGCCTTGATCCAAGGGGATGTGGGACGTACAGAGAGAGGGGCAGCGGAGCATGTGCAGAGGCCTGGGGAGGAGGCCGCCATGGGTCAGGGACAGGCAGGGGCATGCCGATGACCCTGACAGTCTTATTAGGTGGGGGTGGGGCCAGAAAAACCATCGCAGACCTGGGGCAAGTGACAGTCCCACATCTGGGGCCCTGATCTTTGCCAGGCTCCACTGCCTGGTACTTCTGCTCCTTCATTTCCCTCCCCTGCTACCCCCATCTGTCTACCATTCTACCTTCTGTCTATTATTCGGTCCACAAATAGTGCCCGATGCCTCCCTGCATAGAGCTGAACAAGATGGGGGACCCAGAAAGATCTCAAAGCCCTCACCTCGAGCCCTTGAGGGGCTCCCCTGCAACCACGGATGACAGTCAGTCATCCTGATGGCAGTGTGTGTGTGCAGGCGGGAAGGGATGGGGTTGGAAGGCTTCCTGGAGGAGGAGGGCCTTGAGCTGAGCCTTGGAGGAGGAGGGGGTTGGCCAGGGGGGGAGTTGGGGAAGGGTATTCTAGGCAGAAGGAACAGCCTCTGGGCTTGGGGTCCCCCTGGAAGGGGAAACCCTAGAGGGCAGAGGGAAGGCAAGGGCCCCAGTCCAGGCCGCTCTGGAGACACCTGGCCCTGCACAGAGATGCTGAGTCCGGTGTTGGACACAGGAGCCTGTGTGGGGAGGGTGGGGTGGGCCGGGTGTTAATGGAGCCCGCCTATGCCTTTGAAGAGGGCAGTGCCCACCCGCCTGCCAGGCTAAGGGCTAATTAGCCTTAATCAAGGTGGCACCTCCTCCCTCCACCCTCCCCCTCAGGCTTGGAAGGGAAGAAAGGGAGGCAGGCGGGTAGGCAGACAGGAAGGACCCACCCCAGTGGCACACATGGCTTCGCTCACCCTTGCTGTCCTGTGCAGGGTCCGGGAGGCCTCACCCACCACCCACCTTGGGGGTGAGCGGTGTCCAAGTGAGCCGGGACACAGGGGCGAGGGGTACTCAGCCAAGAAGGAGCAGATGGGACGCCTCACCCCAGCTCTGTCTCCTTAGCTGGCCCCCACAGCTCTTCAAGACTGGAGGAGGTCCTCCTCTGCTTAGAAGCCCTCCTGGGTTACTGCTTCCTCTGGGCCCCCTCAGCCCAGACCCCTAGCACAGGGTAACAGGCTCATCTGCTTTCTTTGCTCTGCTCTCAGTGCTAGGAAGGGACCGGGGCCCACTCGTTATTGAGTCTGGGCTTCTGGCCCAGTGCGCTGCTCTTGGGTGGGCTCCCGATGGGCGGCTGCTGACTGCAGGAAGCGTGTCCCTGCGGTGGAGGGCTCCCACCTAGACGAGAGGCAGGCAGGAGCCAAAAGGAGGAGTCCACACAGGGTAGGGAGGCAAAGGGGCTCCTCTGGCCAGAAGTCTTGGGCTCCAGAGCTGAGGAGTCCACGTCCCAACCCAGACCCAGACTGCCCGGCCCCAGCCCTTGCCCTCTTAGGACAGAGGTCATCTGCGATGGGTGCAGGTCAGCAGCCCTGGGCTACGGGCGTGAGGAGTGTGCCAGCCCCAGGCCACTGCTCCTGCCAGACCCCACCAGCGTTAGAGAAACCACCAGGGGGGCAGTCTGGCTGGAATGCGAGGGCTGCAGGTCATTCTCGAAGCCACCAAATGTTTACGGGACACCTACTGTGTGCCAGGGGCTGGTGCGTCCAGCCCAGAAGGGGAGCCGGACAGTAAGCAAGTGGGACGAGTGCTTGAGGACAAAGGGGAGAGCCTGGGGGGGCCGGGGGGGGGGACAAGAAGGAGCAGAGAGGCTGAGTCGGGCGGCTGTACCTGCAGGTGGCCGAAGCCACAGAAGGGTTCGGGGCAGGGCAGGGCTGGCCACATCCCCAGAGGAGGGGACCAGAGGCCGGGGAGGAGGCTGGAGCTGGGGTGGCAGGGGACAGCTGGAGAGCAAATCTTAGTGACCATGGGAGATGGGGGAGAATGAGAAAGGGTCTTGAGGGATGAGCACGCCCCACCGCCTGCCCACAGGCTGGTCATCGTGGTGCTCATCGGCGTGAGCGTGGCCTGGATCCCCATCCTGCAGGACTCCAACAGTGGGCAGCTGTTCATCTACATGCAGTCAGTGACCAGCTCCCTGGCCCCCCCAGTGACCGCCATCTTTGTTCTGGGCATCTTCTGGCGGCGAGCCAATGAGCAGGTGGGTGGGGGATGGGGAGAGCTGGGGCAGCAGACTGGACGTGGGGGGCAGACTCCGTCGTCTTCCTGCGGACGAGCTGTGTCTGGCTCCCATCTCCCACCCCCACCCCTCCCCCTGCTGGCTGTGTGTGTGCTGGGGGAACCCTGGCCTCCCCCTCACGGTGCACCTGCCCTGCCTCCTCTTCCCCAGGGGGCCTTCTGGGGCCTCATGGTGGGGCTGGCCGTGGGCGCCACAAGGCTGGTCCTGGAATTCCTGCACCCTGCCCCCCCCTGCGGTGACCCGGACACGCGGCCGTCCATCCTTGGCAGTATCCACTACCTGCACTTTGCCGTCGCCCTCTTTGTGCTCAGTGGAGTCGTGGTGGTGGCCGGGAGCCTGATGACGCCACCCCCCCGGGGGATTCAGGTGAGACTGCCCTGGCCCCTGACCCCGACCCCTGACCTTTAACAAACTTTTAACGCTGGTCCCATTCTGACCCCTGACACTCTGCGACTCCGGCATTTTCTAGCTCTTGACCCCTGTCCCTTTTTGAACTCAGCTGCTCACTTTCCATCCCTGACCCCTGTCCCCGTCCGGGCCCAGCCCTGTCCTGCCACACCCCCATCCCGATCATTCTCTGCAGATTGAGAACCTTACCTGGTGGACCCTGGCTCAGGATGTGCCCGTGGGAGCCAAAGCAGGTGGGTGTGTGACCCTAGGCCCTGACTCTAACTCCCACCCAAGGAGTCCGGGAGGTGGGGGCGCTAGGTGTGGCCCTGTGGCCCTCACCTGTCTCTTTGCCCTGCCCCCCAGGTGATGGCCGAATACCCCAGAAGCACACTTTCTGGGCCCGTGTGTGTGGCTTCAATGCCATCCTGCTCATGTGTGTCAACATCTTCTTCTACGCCTACTTCGCCTGATGCTGGCCCTGGGGGCAGGAAGGCCAAGCCCTCGGAGTCCTCAGGTCCCCCTCGCTTTCGAGGCCTGGAGAGGTGTGGACTCCCCTCACCTCACGACTACATGGCCAGTCAGCGTCCAGGGACTGGCTGAGCCAGCAAAGCAGGGGCCCTGGAAAGGTCGCGGGGCAATGAACAGAAAGAACGTGGTATTTCAAAAATTGCACAAAGTAGTCTTGACGGCAACGAAAATTAGATTTCCGATGACCATCCTGATACTCATTTTACTGTTTTTATTTTGAAAACATGGGCCCAGGTCAGGAGCAGCTCAGGCCTTGAAGGGTTGCTGGCCAGCCCTGGGCAGAGGGAGAGCCTAGGGCCCCCTCCCCGGGCTCTTGCCCCCATCCCACCTGCTCCCAGCTGCCATGAGATCTTCCTCTCCCTCCCTTCCCGCTCACTGCCCCCTCCTCCACCAGCCTGGCATCCAAAGCACTTTCTGAGTCCCCCTCACTCTTCCTGCTCCCCAAGGTGCCGAGGCCCTGGGCAGGTGCCCCTTGCTACCTGCTGCTGGTTGCACATTCTGTGTGGACACCCCACCTTTCCTCAAGCCAGGGTCCCATTCCAGATGCCGTTGGACCTCCCAGTCCAGCAGTGGCCCTGACTTCCCACCTGGCCTGTAGTTTAGCTGAGCTCGGGGGCCCAGGTCTGGGCAGAACTTGGACCCCAGCAAACGACAGCCAGGGCAGGCAGGTCCTCCAAGTGTCCGTGCCCCAGGCCTGCGCCATGGAGCTTGTCCATTGTGTTGGGCCTGCGGGAGAGGAGAGCCTCCCTCTGTGTCTTTCATCACCGCCCACCTCCTGTGGGTCTCCCCAAAGTGTCCGTGGTGGGGCGGGGGTGTGGGACACCCAAGTGGAGCCCAAAGTTTCATGGGGCTGCCGAGAAGTCGGTCTCCACCTGGAGTCAGTCCATCGGTCCAGGCCAACACGTGTGCAGCCCCTATCCTGTCCCTCATCACTAAGCCACCTTCCCAGTAGCCAGCACCCCTCAAGGGGCCATCTGAGGGTGGGGCAGGTGGGCCCAGCAGATGGTCAGCCCAAGGTGAACCCACCTACCATACGCATGGTTCCTTGGGCAGAGCCCCCAAAGGCCTGCAACTTAGGAGTCCTCAAACTCTCCCTGAGGTTGGGGCCATTGATGGCTGGAGGTGGGGGGGCTTCTTCCCCCAAGGGCACCCCGCAGCTGGTAGCCAAGGGGAAGAGGCCAGCGGGAAGCCCCGGGGGCTCCCCTTGCCTGCCGGGCACTGAACATTACAGTGGTTCTTGGGCCCCGGGGCCCATCCCAGTTTGTGCAAAGCAGTGGGCGCCTAGCCTGGCAGTGAGAAGACCCACGTTCGGGTCCAAGACCCTCAGCTGAGTCCTGTGGGCCCCGGGGACGGGGCGTCCACGTCTTCTCTCGGAACCTCAGTGTCTGGCGGGTGGATGATCTGCCGGCTCTGCCCCCGCCCCCGGGCCCCACTGGGTCACAGCTGCACTGGCTGGACGTAGCTCCGCGGGAAGAAGCCGATGCGTCCACACAACCGGCCCCGCCACCAGTGGGGGTCAAGGCGCTCCAGGACCTCGATGATGTCACCGCGGTGGAAGCTGAGCTGTGAGGAGTCCTGGGCCGAGAAGTCAAACTGCGCCTGGGCAAAGCAGGCCTGGGAGGGCTGCGAGGGAAGGGGGTGGTTAGTGGGGACCTTTCAGGAGGCCCCAACAGGAGAAGTGAGTGGCTGCGGGTGGGAGAGCAGGATTGAGCTCGAACTCGCTTCTCACTCCAAATCCAGACAGATGGCCACCCCACCCCAAGAGCCCCCCGCTGCCTGCCCCCTGAATGTCTGCCGCACAGAGACTGTGTCTACACAGACCAACAGGACTGTCTGGTCCACAGGAACAGGCCCTATAAACTGTAAAGTGCTGTGTGGCTGAGAACAGGGTTGACGGCTGTTGCCCTTGACCAGGCTTTGAGGGAGAGGGTGTCACCAAAAAGAGCTGCTCCCAGCTCTCAGGCCTGGGTTCTGCTCCTATCTCTACCCCAAGGTGACCTTGGGTAAGACCCTGCCCTTGTGGGACTTAGTTTCCCCATCTGCAAACGGCAGCAGGACAAAGCTCTCTGCAGGCACGTCGGCCCGGCGCCGTGACGATTACACCCGGTGTCCCGGCCCTGCCTGCCCCACCAGGATCTCTGTTCTGAGCCTGTGGAATCTTATCCAGGATGGGTGATAGGATCAGCAGACAGGCTCTAATTAGCAGTTCTCTGCCCAGGAAGGAGGAGGCGGTAGCATGGGTCCCACAGGGTGGGTGACCCCAGGGCCCAGGCTGGAGTGAAGCAGTGGGTGTGGGGAGCCGTCAGGCAGCCCCCACCCTCCCCAGCTCCATCCTGGCTCCCTCACATTCTCCAAAGGCAGATCTGGCCGACGGTGGAGGGGAGAGAATGGAGGTCGGGGACAGAGGCCTAGCAGGGCCAAAGTTCGCTAAGACTGAGCGCTCACAGCTAAGCCAAGCCCCCACGGTCAGGCTGAGGAGGCCGAGCATCCTGGGGGCACAAACCAGGACGGAGCCGACCCCGCAGGTGGTCTTGGGGGAGCCTGTTTCTTCACCTGTACGGTGGCGACGATGAGGCCCCCAGCGGACTAAGCCCAGCTCAGTGCATGGCAGCCGGGTGGCTCCGCAGGGTATCAGGACCCTCGTGCATTCAAAACGCGTACCTACTGTGACCACGCAGGGCGCCGCCGCGAGCTGAGAACGAGCCAGACACGGGGTGCCCCCTGCAATGTCCACTCTGTTCCTTCCTTTTCTTTCCCTCTGCGTTCCCACCCTTGCTGGTCCTACTGCGGTGCCACCAGAATGGGACTTCAGAGCCTGGCCTGGCCCCCTCCTCCTGGGACACCAGGCTGCGAGGGGCGGGGCGGGGCGGGAGGCCACGCCCACTCCCGGCCCCAGCAGGTGTCGAGCCCCTGTGGAAGGCAGAAGGCGCGGAGAGGCGCCCGCGGGTCCGCCCGCCTACCTTGAGCAGGGGCTCCTCATCCCGCAGGAAGACCTGCCGCTGCTTCGCGATGGTCGTGGTCCGGTAGAAATCCACCAGCTCATTCAGGGAGTTGAACTTCTCTTCCCACAGGAAGTACTTCCCCGAGGCCTCGCGCAGCACCTTGAAATGCTGCACCTGGTCGCCGTAGCTGGGGGAGAGGAGCCCCCTGAGCCGGGACCCAGGGTCCCCCCGGGGGGGCCCCGTCCCTGCCCGCACAGCCCCGGGGCCTCCCTCCTCATCCCCACCGGGAAGCTGGTCGCTCTGGCTCCCGGGGGGGGGGGGATGGGGGGCGGGGAGGGGGGAACACCTGCGGGCAGGAGAAGGGGCAGGTCCGGGAGGGCAGTGGCCAGGCCCACTGACCCGGCGGGACGTGAGACCTGGTGAATCCCCCTCGGCGGTGGGCTATGGAATTAAGGGTGTGGGCGCTGGAAAAGGCCACTGGGCGGCTGTGTGACCTTAGGCAAATCACTGAACTTTAAATCTCAGCTTCTTCATAATGGTAGCTCCTCCCTTCTGGGTAAGTGTCCGGAAAGTGCTGCGGATGGCTGATCGGCAACATTAAATGGGTTCCTCGGAAAAAGTGGTCACACAGCTCTTCTCCAGCCGTGACATTCTCCCCCATCCTTCTCCCGGTCTCGCAGTCCCACTGAGGAGTGAGTCCTAAGACCATCCTGACTCAGACAAAGCCTGCCTCCGTATTGGGTGCTTCCTGTCTCTTCCTGCACCCCTACCTCAAGAACCATCTATGGCTCCCCATTACCCTCCAGATAAAATCTTAACACCTCGGACTCAAGATTTGGCCCCGGTTACGTGCCCAGCCTCATTTCCTTCATACACTTCATACACTCTCTTCCCACATGCCTCATGTCCCATGCCAGGACAGGCCACAACGGATTGGGACCGGAGAGGGTACCGGCGTGGGTTGGGACTAGGGGTAGCACAAACCATTGTGATTCCCCTCGCTGCTGCAGGCCGGGCCCACCACATGGCCCAGGAGGTGCAAATCGGGCCCTTTGTACAGTGGGGAAAGTGACGCTGCAAGTGCAAACTGTGACCTTCCCAGGGTCACACGGCAGCAAAGCCAGGGCTGGGGCCACATTTGTGGCCAGAGCTGGGGCCTCATGTCAAGTGTCATTCCAGCACGCTCCCCTGTTGGTTCTCATCGTATAACAATAGGAATAATAATTATTCCAACTGTGGTATTGATAATGTCCCAGACCTTGTCATCCCAAGTCCAGGACTACTCCCTGGGCTGTGACCCCTAGGAGGCCTTCCCTCTCTCAGCCTCTGTGCCTGGCCGTATCGCAGCCATCCTCCCGGGCTCTGGTCAGCTCACCTGGGCCTCAGTGTCCTCACCTGCGGAAGGGGAGGGCTCCCGGCAGCTGCAGGGAGAACCCAGAATAGCCCCGGCTCCCCCGCAGGAAGAAGCTGGTTTAGGAACCTGCCCCGGGCTGGTGGAGCTGAGAGCCCAGGAAGCCCGGGACCTGTGGGCGTGGCCACGCATGTGTGTTGGGGGCACAGGCTGGCCACCGGGCGGGCGCCGGCCCCTCGGCCACCTGAGTCGCAGGCTGTGCTCTCATTTTGTGCAGGACTAAGTGAGAACCAAACAGTGGTCTGGAGACTTGATAGTGAAAAGGAAAAAACATCTCCTGGGTTCTAAATTTAAATCTTGTTAAACAATTTTGTAAGCTGGGGTTTGCCCACAGCCTGGGTTCCTCCAGGCCCACAGCCCAGGGTCTTGCAGGGCCCCAACAGGAGCACGGCACGGTCACCCGCAGCCCCCCAGGTCTCCTGCTGTCTCATCCCAGCCTGCCGTTCACCTCCTCCCCCTGTCAGCCCTGGGGTTGTTGTGCTGCTTTGTTAAACGTTTAAGATTAAAGACTGAAGACAAAGAATTGTTCAAGGTGTGTGTGTCTGGGGGGGAGAATGGGGGTCAAAGTGGGATGCCCTCACCTTCCCATGTTAAGGGGTCCAAACCACACAGAACCCCTCTCTTTCCACTCAAACATATCCCCCCGCCAGGCCTTTGCATACACGATCGTCTCCAAATTCTTCTCCAGTCAAACTCCTACTCATACTTCGAAGCCCAGGTAAAATGGCCCAACTAAGTCAGAGGCAGAGGTCTCCTTAGGTTCCTCAGCCCCTCATACAGCCTTCTTCTAACCCACTGCTCCTAATGGCTTACACAGAAAAGGCAGGGAGGCAAGACTAGGCCCTGAGGGTCTAGCCCAGTTGGGAGAGGCTGAACTCGGGGAATGGAGCGTCAGGGCCCAAGGCTTAAGTGCTCATCAGGGTGGTTTGCTCCTGAAAACCCTCTCCTGTTCGCTCTGAGCTGTGATTCCAGCCCTCCAGGTGTCCTGGCCCTGAAATAGACCCGACACCCTCTCTAAGATGTATCCAGATCTCAGGGCAGCTTAGCTCCAAAGGGAGCCAGTTCCCCCCACTCCCGCCCCCAAGAGGCTCTGGGACCAGGTGGAGCAAAGATCCCCAAACCTGAGACAAAGCTGCTTGTGTGCTGTCAGCAAGCATTGTTCCCAGGTGACTAAGCGGCCGGTGCTGTCAGCTGGGGGACATCAGGTCTATGTTCCTGGGACGGAACTAGGGCAGGCAGGCGGAGGGTGCTTCCTGCCCTGTCTGGCCTGCCACAGCCTCCCAGAGGCCACGCACTTTCCTTGAGGCACCTCTGAGCCCGATGACTCCTGAGTGCCCTGTCCCAGCCGATCGGGGTGGCCCCAGCCCCTAGACTTTGGCAGGGGTGCATGGGGAGGAGTGTCTCTCAACCAAACGCTGGGCAAGTGAGAATCTGCCAGGAAAACAGGGACCCCAAGGACTCCGTGTCTGGGCCCCCCAGTGCAGCAGAGGCAGAAGGCTCTGACTCGGGGCTGTCCCCAGAGAGGAGCCTGGGGTATGGGCGGCCTGACCCCTCTGGGTAAGGGGGCAGAGAAGCTGTGGTAGGTTTGTGAACGAGATCTCAACCCCCAAGTGACCCCCTGGAAAGTTCAAAGCCCATTTTACCTGGGCTTTGAAGTATGAGTAGGAGTTTGACTGGAGAAGAATTTGCAGACAATCGTGTATGCAAAGGCCTGGAGGGGAGATATGTTTGAGTGGAAAGAGAGGGGTTCTGTGTGGTTTGGACCCCTTAACGTGGGAAGGTGAGGGCATCCCACTTTGACCCCCATTCTCCCTGATCACACAGGAGGATCAGCGAGTAGAGAACGGGAGATGAGATAGGAAAGGGGCAAGTGCCCAGGAGGTTTGTGCGTGTGCCCTGGCCTGTGTGTCCATCTCTATCGTATCTGAGTGTGTGTGTGTCTTTGGGGGGGTGGTCCCCTCTCTCTCTGGGGGGGGTCCTCTCTCTCTCTGCTCTGCCACAGTGACTTCACATATGGGTCCCTTTCTTTGCAGCCATGGGTGTGTTTGTCTCTGTGTGTGACCCCCACAGCCACCTCCCCAGGGGGCTGAGGGGCAGGGCCTGGCCTCTGGGCTGTCACAAAAGCCTCAAGGACCAAGTGAGGCCTGATGCTAGCAGCCGTCTGTCCTGCCCAGCAGGTTTTTCTGGCCTGGTGGTGGCGGCAGCTAAGGGAACAATGGCAGCGCAGGGACGATGAGGAAGGCTGGGGTAAGGTCAGGAGCCCCAGGACTGCCCCAACTAGGGCCCGTGGTGGGTCCTCCTGGGCAGAGGCCTGCGTGCTAACTGCCCGCGGGGTGATGGCCACAAGGCATGGTCCTTCTAGCCTCAGTTTTCTCATCTGTGAAAAGGGCAGGGGTAGAATACATGGACTGCAGCAGGCGTGAAATAGGATCAGAGTGACCTTGGCAGGGACCCGTGGGTCTTTGGGACTCAGAAAAGGTGGATGGAAGGTCGAACGGGTCTGCCCGGGCACAGAAGGTCAATGGACACTTGTTCTGCGCTTCCTTGCTGTGTGACCTTGGGTAAGTTACTGCACCTCTCTGAGCTTCAGTTTCCTGCAAACCAGGCTTCTGGGGATGGCTTCCTCTCCCTCTCGGTCTTGGCCTGCATAAGGTAGCGCCCTCCACCTTCTGCCACCTCTTCTGTCCTGCTTCATTTTCCCAAGAGCCTTTATCATCTCCCAAGATCTTATATAATCTGCTCATTGTTTCTTGTCTGTCACCCCAGTGGAAATGAGCGCCTAAAGGACAGGGAGCTTTGTCCGATTTTGTTCATGGCTGCATCCCAAGCGCCTGGGATGAGGCCTGGTGCACAGTAGGTACCCAGTGGCCAGAGCAAACACACGTGCATTGACTCCAGGGCACCTCTGGCCCGAAAGGAAGCGCAATACCTCACTTGGGAACCAACTGCCATTCACAGCAGAGGAACCTGGATGGGGGTGTGGGGCAAAAGTCACAAAGCCCAGGCACTGCACCCCAACCATGCTTGCCGCTCTGCTGGCTGCCCGCTCAGACATGCCCCTGCAGGTGGAGAGGAAGTAGCCCTCTGTAATCTCGTAAAGGGCATCTAGCGTGGCCACTATCGCTCCACGGGGCAGCCCGAGGCCCATATACCCCACCTCTGACAGCTTTATGGGGCTTGGCATGAGCATGCGAGAGATGCCACGTGTCGTGGGGTCAGAGTCCCCAAGAGCCAAGTCAGCGAGGGCAGAGATGCTCTCACGCATGGATTTGCACAGCTGTCATTTTTCTGGAGGGCCACTGGGTCCCCGGACTTTGTGACACCTGGGGTTATTGTCTCCACGCTGTAGATGAAAACATTACAGCCAAGAAGAAAGCCAGGGCCTGCCTCACAGCAGGTTCTGAGCAAAGTCAGGACAAGAACTGGGTTCCCTGCCACTCCATGTCACTGCCCCTTCTCGAATAGCCCCGGATTCGTGGGCAGGGGGCTAGGAAGCACTGTGTGGCTCTTAAAGGGTAATATAATGATGACTACGATCACCGGCATTTTTGGAGCACTTACTATGTGCTAGGCAGCATACAAAGCACTTGACCTGGATGTTCATTTTACAGATGAGGAAACTGAGGCTCAGAAGGTAACTTGCCCAGGGTTATACAGGTAGGAGGTATCAGAGCTGAGATTCTTGCTCAGAAGCCCACACTCGTAGCCATATATGCCCTCTGAGTCTGTTTCCTACTCTATCCCTGCCCAGTGATCCTCCAAGGGCCACTGAAACGCTCCCATGAGAGACAATG